CTCCAAAAGCGATGATGTCGTCTCGGGTGACCCCGTTCGGGGTAAGGCCTCTTGCCCGACCCCAACAGGGCTCAACTGAGCTGAACCAGCCGGAGAGCTGTCCTGCGTCGGCAGCACCGATGAAGCCCCCCCCCCAGCCATCACCGCTACCGGCCTCGGTACGCCCGGTGAGCTCTGTCCAAGACCACCACCCGGGACCTGAGCAAGGGTCGCCCCCTCCAAGGACGGCCGGGGAGAGGAAGGAGCGGGGGCCACCTGCCCGCACCCCCCTCTCGATCCAGCAGCTCCTCCAGCGCGTGGCACGGCCACCAAGGGAGAGGTAAGGGCGGGGGCCTCCTGCCCACACCCGGCTCCCGGACCGTCACCTCCAGGCGCGTGAAGAACATCTGGAACGCTGCCCGGCGTCACCGGACTCCTCATCCGTAGATAAGTACCACCCTGATCAAGGAGAGCGGGGGATCGGAGGGCCTCCTGCCCATGATCCTCCCCACCCTCGCAGTAAAGCTTAGTAGTCCGACCAAACTCCATCTTTGCACCAACCAATGTCCCGGAGTCCGTCCCCGAAGATTGAGGTATTGTCGGAAACACACTGCTAGAAGCCAACACCGGTGGTAACTCAAGTTCCGCCGGCTCGTCCATCTCCACACGAATACTCCATAGACGACTAGGCACAGAACGTGCATCAATAGACCCAAAGCAAAGAGAGCTCATCGGAGTTGAGGAGCCAAACGGCCCCGTAGCAGACTTATCTGCCTTATCCGACAGCGAATCCGGCCCCTTAGCCGTCTCCCGTGATGTGCTCTCTGGCTCCCTACTCTAATCTCCGGAGGCCCCATCCCCCTGGTCGTATCCATGTCCTAGGTGTCATCCCCCTCTCCCTCCTGAGGGATCGGAGTATCCTCAATCTCAAGCTCAAGCACATAAGTAACGCCGGCATGTGTCCATTTGACCACATCCGGAACAAACTCCAAGCTGACAACACTGACCAACAATCTCGCTGCACCATGTGCCCGAGTGAAAGGCATGTCCGCTTGTTCCGTCTTCCCAATGAGAGAACCCATACTCCAAGCTACCAGGAAGTGAGTAATATATTTGCATGGTGCACCATAGAAACGAACCCAAACCTTCTCCAAAGGTGTACTCTCAGGCTCCTTCTCCTTCCACTCATCAAACGTAAGGACAATGTTCGTACTCTGAACTCTACACATGCCCCATTTGAGGATATGTAGCTGGCCTTCCTTAGTGGGAAAATCAACCTTGTAAGTCTGGGTCTCCAACTTGACAAGGTCCCACTGGTGATTACCTGGAATAAGATCCTGCAGCTGACGCACAATCTGTGCCTCTGTCAAACTCCCATTAGTCACCTTAACGACTGCGGGAAAGGAACTCTCATGCACGTGCGTCGAAGGTGCCACATCAGGTGACCCAAAAAAACATAAGTTCCTGACAACAGACTCCATAAATGGTGACCACCGGCTTGGGGCCAGAAAGGAGAGGGCAGTCAGCGGACTTATGCTGCGATCTACAGCAGTAATCACACAGTTCTGTGGTACACTCTCCCACAAAATGTCCTGGCTCTCCACATCTATAGTACGGTAACTTCTTCTTCTTAATAGCCCACTTAGATAACTTTTCACCATTACGTTTATCCGGACCCTTTTCAGAAACAGCGTCATCAGCCTTAGCCGCCGGAATACTGACTCTAGCCAAAGCCTAGAATGTGTCTACAGCCACCTCGGGGAGCGCAGGAGAGGATGCCTACCCAGTCACAGTAGGCACGGCAGTAGCCACCATAGTTGTATCAGCCGGCGGGGGAGGAGGCCGCGGTGGAGGGGGGGCGCCCGCCTCCTCTCCCGCCACGGAAAGCACGATGATCTCCTCGGTTAGGCCGGTTGGTTGGGCCGGTGACCCCCTCGACGAAATTGCCAGGAGGTCCTTGGAAGCCGCGGCCCGGTCCATTGCCATTGTTCCAACCTAAGCCACGACCACCATAGATGAAGAACGACGGTGCTGACCCTCACAGTATGCATCGTATCCATCGTCACCCCACTGGCCATAGCGGTTGTATCTGTAGCCGCCATTACTGTTGTCCCTAGCAGCACCACCGTCATGACCATCCCGGGCAGGACCTCCACCCCGCCCGACGCCATGGGCGCCCCTACGGCCAGCACCAAGGGCACCACCTTGTCCAGCCGCTTGGTTCCCCATTCGCCCGGCAACATGGGCACCGCCCCGCCCGGCAGCAAGCGCGCCACCCCGCCCAGCGACTTGGCCCGTAGGCGGTACCTCCTGTTGCGCCACTGTAGCCGCGGTCAGGGGTGGCTTGGCCGGCGGAGGTTGGCCTCGCCCCGCCATACCTGCCGGAGGGGGTAGCAGGAACAGTACCCGCCGGAGACACGCGCCGAGCTCGGCCGGACCCGATCGAGAGGAAGCTTGGCCGAGCGATCACCAAAACCCTAGGGGGATCACGTACGGGAGGAAACTCCTGTGCAGAATCACGTAACAGATCGCCCTAGGGGCTCGAACCGGTGGCCGGGGTCACTACATGGGCCACTTGCCCAGTATCTGATGCGCCCAGGTCCACACAAACCGAGTCAGGCCCATCTTGGCCCAACAGCGATTTCAAATGGGAAGCACGCATCGCCTGGATCTCGTCTCGATGGCACGCCGGCGACACCGCCGCCAGCGGCCAAGATCTCCTCCGGCGATCCTTCACTACCTTCCAAGAACCAAAAAATTGGCAAGAGTAAGGGAGGGAAGACTTACCTTGGGTAATGGACCCTTCCAAGGAGCCGTCCGGCGATGCACCACTCGCCGGAGAACCTCCACCGCGTCCGTCTAGCCCAATCCGTCCCAAGCTGCATCATCCGTCGGAACGATCCCGTCTACGAAGCCGGCCACCTCCTCCTCCGAGTAGCCGGCCCCCAAAACCTCGCACGCCTTGTCGCTAGGCGTCGGAGAGTATGCCGCTGCCCCAGATCCGCCGCCGGGGGCCTCCTCCTCGTCGGAGTCGTCGGAGTCCGAGCCCGCTAGGGCCCAGAACCGACTCCCACCGCGAAGGGAGGGTGCCGACGGCCGAAGCCCTGCCGCGTTCGTGTTGCAGATGACGGCGAACTGTGTTGCGCCGCGTCCATCCCCAATTGCAGCTAGCCGTCACACGGACATGAGCTTGTCACCAACATTGAATATTTTGCCCCTGGGAGTCTATGATGCAATCCTTGGCATGGAGTAGATGGAGCAGCACAGCCTAATGACCGTGGATTGGAAGGCTAAAATCCTGCGGATCCCAACTCCATCTGGATCAGTATGTTTGCGCAGGCATGATGCTGAATCTCTCGTCTGCCATGTCATCACCAGCATCCAATTGCAGAGTATTCACAAGCAAGGAGCTCTGTTACATGTGGTGTACCTGTATCTGTATGCTGCAGCATCCAAGGAAGGGGAGCAAGCTGAGTGCCCTGCTGCATTACACAGCGTGCTGGCTGAGTTCGAGGATGTTTTCAGAGAACCCACTGATCTTCTCCCCAGCGGCGAGTTTGTGACCATCACATTCCATTGATGCTGGGGCAGCCAATCAACATTCACGCTTACCGCCACAAACTGTAACACAAAACTGAAATTAAAAGACACGTAGCTGAGCTATTACAGACATCTCAACTCCATGACCAAAAAAAGAAAGTCATCGAGCCTCCCTTTTAAATAAATGAGCTTATTCATGATCAAAAAAGAAATTTCCATCCCACATACAAAAGTCTCTCCCCAATATCTCCAAGATATCACCGCTACCAAGGTCAATTATTTAAGGGTTATGTGAAATCACCTAACTGAAACACAAGTAGAAAAATATGCATAAATTGTCGCGCATGAAGAATCATATACTAACATAAACCTGTTAATAAATCTCAGCTGAAGGAATATCATTACTTTGTGTGGTAGGGGCGGGCAAGACAGAATGTTTGGTATTTCTTCAAATAGGAATATTGCGCAACCACACCCAACAAATTTTAAATTTGTAGGGTCAAACAAATTTTACAGTATTACGAGATATTGTAATGTTTAATTTGATGATACATAGAGATATTCTCAATTAAGTATTGGACTGTGTTTTTTAAGTGAAGGCAGGAGCACTGCCTAACGCATTAATGGTGCATTATTGTTGTGGTACATATCTACACCAACTGCAACAAAGAATCATAACCATAGGTAACCATATCCATCACTAAATGGAGTGCAAACCCATCACTAGAATTGCATTTTTCTTTTAAAACACTTAGTGCCTGTTATAATCATTTTTGTTATGCTGTTTATATATATATATATATATATATATATATATATATATATATATATTTATATATATATATATACCATCTTCGTAAAAAAAAAACTAGCCCATACGGCTTATGCCACTCATCTTAACTATAGTTGAGAAGTGGGCATGTGTTGTGTATCTTTCCCAGAACATTAACCGAGATATGTGTTACATATTCTAAAGCGAGGATCAAAATTATATGTATTATTTTGTAACCAGGAAGATGTGCATCTTGCCATATGGGTCAACACACATAGTAGGTGGTGTAACCAAGAAGATGTGTATCTTTTTCCACCCATAGTAGGTGGCGTAAAATCACGAAGTAGTGTATCTTACAACTATGATAGGAAGGGTTCATTCAGACCATTGATGGCAGTTTGCACAACATAAACTGGACAAGAGATGCACTCTATCCAACAATAAAGCTTATAATACACGTGTTTATTGTGTGTTATCATGTTTGAGTAACTTAGCATATGTCCAGTTGTATGATATCGTAGATTTATCTTCTGCATTTTACATGTTAATAGAATTTTGTTAATAATTATGTATCCTCATAATAACTAGGCCGTGCAGGTGCATGGCCGGTGAATGACTAGTTTTCTAAAATGCAAGTACATTATACATTTTTTATCACACGTAAAATGTTGTTTACTCTAGTATGATAGTATCCTTATGATTAATTCAGGTACATTATTGTTATCGATGATGTATGGACAACAACGGCGTGGGATGCCATCCGGGTCCACTTGCCAGATAGCAAATGCGGTAGCAGAATCATTGTTACCACCCGGATAGAGACCGTGGCCAAAGAATGCAGTTCTCCAAGTGTTTCTGATTATTACATCTACCGTCTTAAGCGACTCAAGACAAAATACTCCAAGGAGTTGTTCCTCAGTAGAGCATTTGGTTCCATGACAGCTACTTGCCCAAATGAGTTGAAAGTTATAATGGACAATATCTTGAAGAAGTGTGATGGGCTACCATTGGCCATTGTTAGCATTGCCAGCCTCTTGGCGAACTATAAATCTCCTGAGAGAAAAAGCAGGTGGGAAACAATTTGCAACTCCATTGGTTCACTGATGGAGAGCAACAGTAAACTTGAGGGGATGAAGCAGATACTGACACTCAGCTACAACCACCTGCCTTACCACCTGAAGGTTTGCATGATGTACCTTAGTATTTTCCCAGAGGATTATGAGATCAACAAGAATCGTCTCTTGTATAGGTGGATTGCCGAAGGATTGGTTGAGGAGAAGCGAGGATTGACTCTGCTGAAGGTTGCAGAAGCCTACTACGATGAGCTAGTGAGCAGGAGCATGATTAGTCCGGCATTCTCTGTGAACTTTTATGGGAAGGTTGAAGCATGCCGGGTGCATGATATTATGGTTGAAGTCTTGGTCTCCAAATCCTTGGAGGCCAACTTTGTTAGCCTAGTTGGCGGGCAGTTTGAAGGGATGTTGTATGACCGTGCTCGTCGCCTTTCCATCCAAGGTGTAGAACAGGACCCTACATCCAAGAAAAGGGCAGCAGTTGGTGGTAAGAGGAGCAACATGGGGGGGATGGACTTGCAGCATGTTCGGTCACTGAGCAATTTTGAGCTCCAAGGACAGAAGCTGCTTGATCGGCTTCACGAGTTCACTCTGCTAAGGGTTCTTGATCTGGAAGACTGCAAGGGGCTAGAAAACAAGCATGTGAAGGACATCTGCCGATTGTACCTCCTAAAGTTTTTGAGCATGAAAGGCACATGTATCAGTGTGATTCCTAAAAAAGTCGGCAAGCTAGAGCATTTGGAAGTGCTTGATGTGCGTGAGACAAACATCCGTGAGAAGATACCAGATACAGTGACAAATCTGCAGAAACTTGTGCGCATGGATTTGTGCCACGAGGTTGATTGGTGGGCTATGTGGCATTTTCCCAAGGGGCTCTCTAAAATGAAGGCATTGTGCGAGGTGGAACGTGCACTGGTAAGTAATGTTGAAGTCGCCAAACAGTTTGGCCAACTAGGACAACTGTGTCGCATATATCTGTTTGTTGACGCCCAGAAAGATCCCAAGGTTCTCCAAGAGGTTGCCCTCTCCCTCAGCAAGTTGTACTCCCTCCGGTATCTCTCCATTGCCCGCATGGGTGGCGAGGGCACCAAAATGGACTTTATCCTTGAACTTGAGACGCCGCCACGGCTCCTCCGGTACTTTTACATCGATGGCCAGGTTTCAAAATTGCCTGACTGGATGATCGAACTATCATATCTGACTGCCTTTGGCGGGATTTGGTTGAATTTACGTGGTGAACAATTGTATGGTGCCCTTTGTAAGTTGCCCAACCTGCAGACCATCAGCCTGTGGCAGGATTGCTACATTGACCAAAAACATGTTGCACGTACTGAACACAAGTTTCCGGCGTTGAAGACACTTGCCTTGTGCTCAATTTATTGTCACAACCCCGAAGTGATAGAGTTCACGGAAGGATCCATGGATATGCTTGAGGAGCTTACAGTGAGGTTCTGTGAGCGTAACAGCAGGAGGAGCATTGTTGGCATCCAGCACTTGAAAAACCTGAAAGAGGTGCAGCTTAGAGGTATGAGAGACGACTATTTTCTCGACCTTGCATTGAAGGAGCTCAATACCGAGAGTAACAGCCGCCCCAAGGGCCATCAATTCAAGATTGGAGTGAGGTACGATTAAAGACCACTTCGTGTTGGCCTCGTTAGGTTTGAGTGATTGTTTTATTGTCAGTCAGAGTTGTTGATGTGCGTACTACCTTTTTATTTCAAACACGATTTGCCAAGGAATGCTGTGTACCAGGTTTTTTGTCCCATAGTTTACATTCGTGATCGGGTGTAAACAGTGGGTTTTCCTGGTATACATGAATCCACCGTACTACTACAATTTTCCATTTATTTGTTAAGTGGTTGTATCCTTATATTTCCAACATGTCAACTTTGTGTTTTATGTCATAAGTTAAAGCTTGCAGATTAAAATTTTAAGAAACCAAACATCGAGGGAACGTTGGTGTGGTAGAGGTCCTGACGCGATGGAGGTGTACGCAATGATATCGATATTTCAAATGACACTTCTCATAGTACTAGGTATCAAATTAGCACCGGTACCTTACCACAGATTGGCCTATGGCCATCCGTTAGAGCATCTATAACAGCCGTCCAACGCGCAGCGCGCTAAAAATCAGTTTGCGGCGCGCAGTTCGCCTGTTTTGGCGCGGTGACCAACGCTGGCTCCAGCAGCCGCTATAAAATGCATCACGCACGTAGCCCCAGCAGACGCGCTAAAATGCAGCGTGTGCGCTATCGCTCAAACAACATATGCGCTCAAAACACAAGAAAAAGATCAAACACAAACAAAATAAATCAACAAAAATAGCTCAATTTCGTTATTACAACTCAAACACGTAGTTTACCTTTCAATACAACAAATAGTTCAACAATACAACATCAAACGCACAAATTATGATGCTCTTTGTCGGTCATTCCATGCCCACCACTCCTCGATGAGACCCTTGTGAAAATCATTATGCGTTTTGGGACACCGAATGACAATGATAGGAGGCAACAAAACGGGCCACCCTTTCAGCCCTCAGCCGCACTCGCACGGGATTTCCCAAGAGCTCATAGTGAGAGTAGTCTAAATCTTAGCCACGCTCATTCTTGATGATCATGTTGTGCATGATCACACAAGCGTGCATGATGTACCAAATCATCTTTTGATCCCAAAATCTAGCCGGTCCTCTCACAATAGCAAATTGGGCTTGCAGAATCCCAAAAGGTCTCTCCACATCTTTTCTAGCCGCTGCCTGAGCATTGTGGAAATCAAGATTTTTCTTACCTTCCGGTTTTTTCAACGGCTAAACAAATGTTTGCCACTTTGGGTAGATGCCATCCGCAAGATAGTAGCCATAGTTGTATGCACGGCCATTTACTACAAACTGCACCGGTGGCAGTTTATCATTTGCAATCTTATTCATCAGTGGTGACTGCTTGACAACGTTGATGTCATTCAAAAGATCCATGCATTCCAAAAAAGCATGCCAAATTCAAGTCTCTTGATCGGCCACCGCTTCAAGGATTATAGTGGAACCCTTTTTTGGACGTGGAATTGCCCATGCCATGCCTTAGGACAATTCTTCCAACTCCAATGCATGCAATCTATTGAGCCAAGCATACCTGGGAAGCCACGAGCTTTGTTCATCTCCAATAGCCTTGCGGCGTCTTCAGCATTGGGAGATCTCAAATACTCCTGGCCAAACAGTTGCACAATTCTGACTGCGAAGCGCTTGACACACATAATGGCTTGACTCTCACCCATGGCCAAGTGATCATCAACTAGATCAGCGGGGATACCGTATGCCAATATACGCAAGGCAGCAGTCACCTTATGAAAGGTGCTATGCCCAAGCTCTCGGGCGGCATTCCTCCTTTGCTAAAAAAACCGGTCATGGCTCGCTAGTTTCTCTGCAATGCGCCTGAACAACTCGGTGCTCATCTAAACCGGCGCCAGAAGTACGACTCGGGCTACACGGGATTATCCGCAAAATAGTGCCTGATCAATCTGTTGTGGGCATCGATCATATCCCTCCAATTTTCTACCGGCCCATAACCGAACCATCGTGCTTCTGTTTTTTATTGATGTGCATAGCTAGGATCATTGCAAGATCCTCCTCCTCTTCCATATCAAATTCCTCTTCGGAAGAATCATATGACAAACTCATCTACAATGTTCAATTTAAACAAAGCTATAAAAAGTACAAACAACATGCACTAAATTCATGTAAAACATGTGAAGTTAAAGCAATACACACCTTGTGGGCGTTTTGTCGAACACCTCGGGCGCCGAGCAGCAGTGGGCGGCCGGACGCTGTTCGTCGGACGACTGCCGCGCGCGACGGGCGGCGGTGATGACTAGAAAGAGATGCAGAAAGCAGCGGCGGCGCGGGGATAGGCCGGGGAAGCGCCGGAATGGTCGCCGAAACAAATGGGATGGCGCAGGCGACGGAGGCGGCGCGGCTAGATGGGGTAGGTGGAGTTGCGAGCAGGCACTCGATTGTCCAACGCGCGGGAGCGGGCGCAGCAAATAAAAGGCGCGCGATGGCGTTTTCGCCCGTGCCCTGAACTAGTTATGCTGTGGGCGCGGTTTTTGCGCCTCCGTTGGAGCGCTCAGAGCGGTAGCGCGCCCAAAAGGACTAATTTTTAGCGCGTTTAGCGGGTCTGTTGGAGATGCTCTTAGTGATGACTATTTGTCGGGGGTTGGGTGCGACATATGCCAAGGGATGGCTTATAATGGTGGGGGCGAGTAGAACATGGCCGGTGCCTGGAAACGGGATGAGGCGAAGACATGCACGCCGGCGGATCTTACCCAGCTTCAGGGCTCTCCGAGGAGATAACACCCCTACTGCTACTCTGCAGGGTCTCCGCATGATCACTAAGGCAAAGTGAGTACAAGGGTGGCTCCTCGAGCTGTATTCTGGAGGTAGGAGAAGGCAAGGCTAGCTCTCTCCTTCCTATATGATCTGGTCTAGTGCTAAAGGATTCCAACCCTTTGCATGGGGGCCCTGGGGGTTTATATAGGCCTATCCCCCAGGGGTACAATTGTAAAACCGGCTGGACGTGGGTCCTTGCCGTCAGTCTCTCAGGCCGCCGTCTTCTCAGCCGACTGGTGGGTCCCGCCGACTTGCCTGTGACGGAGCCGACAACCCTTGTCCTCCGCGGGCGGGTCCTGTCGGCCGCGGATCGCTGTAGCCGTGCTTCTAATGACGTGGGCTTGGTCATGAGGTCATGGCAACAGTGCCGCCGCCTGACGGGCGATCACTGTTGCCATTTCCTGTCGTGTCTGGTTAATGGCGTGGGCGGCCCGTGGGAGGGGCCAGCCGACTCCGGGGGGCCGACTCCCATCGGGTCCGTCTTGTGGCGCTCTCGCCGTCTTCGGTACTCCCGCCGACTGGTGGGACCCGCCGACTCTGGGTCGTACAGACAGGCCGTCGTGGGTACAGGGCTCCGCCCCCAAGGGCTGATGTCAGGGCTGACATGGCAACAGTGCCGCGCCGGACGGAGATCTCTGCCGGTACGGCGCACTGTGGCCATGCCTGCCCTCGATAAACGGGGCAGGAAAGGGCCGCGCGGTGGCCGTTTCCCGTCCCGTCCATTATCGCGGAGGTACGGGGTGGTTGGAGTCGCGGGCCGACTCTCTACAGCCGGCTTCTTCGGAAGTCGCCGGCCAGGAGTCGGCTTATCTTGGAGTCGTCCCTGGGACTCGGCTTGTCTTTGAGTCGTTCCTGGGATTCGGCCGCGAGGGGCAGCCGGCAGCGTCGCTGCCGACTCTCAGAAGGCGGCTTGTCGTCTTGGGGCTCGAGGGGCGTAGCCTGCCCCGATGGCTGAAAGGTTCAGGGGCTCGGGTTAGCCTATCCGTGGCCCATTACTCTGACAGTAGTCCCAGAAGCTGGTGAGGCTCCGAGGGCGATACGCCGTGGGGCCTCAACAGTTTCATTCTTCTGGTGGTGGAATCTGGGCCTTGCTTGCCGTCTTCCTTCAGGCCGACTATGTGGAGTCGGACTCGCAGAGGGCCGTCTTGCCCCCTAAGGAGTTTGAAACTCGCGGCGGGAACCAGGCGGCATGCCTGATACGCTTCCCCGCGGTCGCCCGCTGCGAACCCGTCGCGCGGCGCCGCGCGGCAGGGACAGTCTGCCCACCCACGTGCGCAACGGGACCAGCCGTCAGGCGGGGCCCGCCACTACCGCGCCTCGGCATGCGAACGGATCTATTGCGGCCGTGCGGATGGTTGGGTTTCCCACATTGTTACGGTGCGAAGTAACTTCGTGGGGTAAATCGTGGTGGGCGTGTGGAGTCCTGTGCGCAGTTAATCCCATGCCCGCCCCATCGGCTTCCCAGCCCATGAGGCTATAAGTAGGCGGGGGGAGGGGGGGCGGCGAAGCACGCGCAACCATCTTCCCTGCTCCCCCGCCTGCTCTCGCTTCTTCTTCCTCTTGCCACCGTCACACCACACCATGCCGCGCCCGCAGCGATGAGCTCTTCCTCCACCGCCACGGCTCCTAACGTGCGCTCCGGCGTGTGGGACGGCTCCGAGGTGGACGACGACCTCATCAAGCTCCTCCGTAAGACGCGTCGGCTCCCCGGCGCGAACCTAGTGCAAGCCCGTGCCGCGCCGACGAGGGAGATAACACCGACGCCAGAGGAGGGCGAGCGGGTCATATTCCGCTCGCACCTCATGCGTGGCCTAGGGCTGCCGGCGAGCGGTTTCTTCCGCTCCTTCTTGGAGTTCAACGGGCTCCAGCCGCACCACCTTACTCCGAACACGGTGGTGCTGCTGGCCGCCTTCGCCACCCAGTGCGAGGGCTTCCTCGGCGTCCTCCCCACCATCGAGCTGTGGGGGAAGTTCTTACAGTCCAAGCTCGGCACGCACGTCGCCGGCGTGCCAGCCCAGTGTGGCGCCTTCATCGCGATGCGGAGATCAACGGCCGACAATCCGTTCCCCTCTATTCCACTGATCAAGTCGGTGAAGAAGTGGCAACGGTCTTATTTTTACGTGAAGAACGTCGCCCCAGAAGGAGACTGGGTCAATCTGCCGCCCTACGAAGCCGACACGCCGACTGGAAGGCTTCCCAGCTGGTCCCATCGAGTCAAGACGCTGACACCCGCAGGTGCCGCCGCCGTTGCGCG